GAGGGAGGGAGGGAGGAAAAAATAAAAATAAAAAGGCCTGAGTATATGACTCAGGTGTGACTCTGGAAAGATAGATGGTTTATATCACCAAGAAGTGGTATACTATGTGTCCAGCTAGAAGTCCTGCACAAGCTGTCTCAGCTCCCCCCACCCCTCCCTGTGAGTCCTTCCCACAGCTACATATATACACGTGTGTGTGTGTGTGTGTGTGTGTGTGTGTGTGTGTGTGTGTACATGTGTACTTCTTTTTATGATCTGTTTTATGGAGAGAGACTAAATTTGTAACAGTTCCCTCACCCTCAGTTCCCTAATTGCAGTGCTCCCAATTAACTGCTGTTTCTTGTATTGGAGGCCAAGCTTTCCACACCCCAGCCTTTGACACTTGGGGTGACAACAGGCTTCAGTAGCTGATACAGGGGCTAAAACATTGTTCTTTCCTGTTTCAGGTTCTTTCTTTCTGCCTAACAGTCCTAAGCCGAAGGTTTGAGTTTCAAGCTGATGCATTTGCCAAGAAACTGGGGAAGGCCAAAGACTTATATTCTGCTTTGATCAAACTAAACAAAGACAACTTGGGATTCCCAGTTTCTGACTGGTTATTTTCAATGTGGCATTATTCTCATCCTCCACTACTAGAGAGACTTCAAGCTTTGAAAAATACAAAGCAAGACTGAGGTGCTCAGGTTCTGTGACTGGAGGCATTTCTGATTATTTCTGTCCTGGTTCCAGCTCTTGATGTTTTTAAACTTTTTTTTAAAATAAGAATGATTGAATACAGAAAAGTCCAGGTTTAAATATATTTAATATCTCATTTCAAAAATAATTTTATTCTTAAAACACTGTAAAAATTTGAGGCTTAATGTTTTTAAAAGCATAGTTTCATCTTTGACATTTGATTGATCATCTCTGTAAATTCTTTAACAAAATGCATAGCTGTTTTATGTGTATACTTCTGCAGGATCTGAGGGGGAGGGTTTACACCGCTGAAGCCTTCTGCAAAGCAGACACTTCAGTCTCCCATCGTCCTGCTCAGGCCTGAATTGAAGTCTCTTTTTACCTGTATGCGGTTATGACTTAAGCTAGCCAATCAGTGATTTAAATTAGAAAGAAAAATAAGGCTGTTACTTAAATGAAAGTCATTAAGACATATGCGCTACTGTTTACCAAATTTAAAGTCTCTAGCTGCACACTGATCAGGAATTTCTAACAGTGCTTTCACAGTAGAAATTATGTACAGGATGTTTTAAATCAACTTTTGGGTTTGCTTTTAAGAAAATCTTTAAGTTTTATCTTTCCTCCCACCTGGTAGTATAGTTTCATTAGAAGCTTTTTTTCATTACCCCCACCCCCAATAAATAGTATATCCTTTCACTGAGCAGAAATTGCCAATTTGTGCAAGTCTTGCAGTGTTCAAAGTGGCAGAACATGGAAGGAAGATGAAATGACATTTGAGAAGACATGAAGATGAAATATTGCAGATTGTCTTATTATAGGCAAAAATATAGTTTTCTATCTCTTTTAAGAACAGAAGTTTGTTTTTATTTTTGTAATTTTTATCAGTAAATACTAAGCACTGTTTAATTAGGCCTGATTCCATTTTTGAAAATTGTAGTTCTTGATATTATTTTCAGAAAACGAAGTCATGAAATCTTTCCAGTTGTACAGGCTGTATGTATATATATATATATGACTGCTTTGTACCTTTGTCCACTTCTGAATGAGGACTCACTTGGTAGCTGATGCTCTTTTCACAAGAACATTAACCTTCTACGCGTTTTCTCCCAAGTGGGATCCACATGCCTTTGGTATCTGGCTGTAAAGTCTTATGTTCAGCTGACATTTGAATGATATCTTCATGTGGAAATATAAAAATCTAGCACTGCATTATTTATTTTCCACAGCTAAAGCAGAGCAGTCTTATGTTTTTATCCAGCATCCTTTTTCCTTTACTTCATGCCCAGATAACTGCCTTTCCTTCCTTCTGTGCCTTTTAATACAACTTTCAGTTCTGCACAAGTAAAACATTAAAAATTGCCAATGCAGATTTATATACCTTGTCCATAGTTTGATGTAACTTGTGTGTCATGTATTAGTTACCTAGAAGAATAGGCTGGTAGCACATGGAGAATCATGTGAAAGAGTAGCTCTAACACTGAGTGTTGGCAACACTATCACCGTGCCTCACCGAGTCCTCCCGCCTATCTTCCTGCTCCACTCCACAGAGCATTACAGGTTCTCATGATGCTTCCTCTGAAGCTTCATTTGGAGTTAATTTTTCATTTCACATTAACTATTTTTAATTGTTATTATAAAAATGATGTACAGAGGGGATACCATTTCACAAGTCAGGTAATTCTCCATTTTTATAACTACATTTTTAAATTGTTTTGGGTCTGCCTGGTATGCTCCATCGGCCTCTTGGGTCTTCCTCATGTATGGCATCAGGAATCAGCTTTTTAATATGTGACTGACTGGATGGCTGAGGTGTAGGATGGGTCAGAAGGAGATACTGGGAGCTAACCAAGGAAGGAAAGTGGTGGACTGCATTGCCATCCTTGACAGACACGAGAGGAGGATGGGGTCAAGTAGGTCAAAGCCTTGAGTAAAATGGCCTGAGCCTGAAAGGGTTGATGTCTGTGTTCAAGGCAGAATCTGATGGATGTGGTTGTGACTTAGATCTTTGCTGAGGTCTAAGTAAATCCTGCCTGTCTTTGGGATAGGAGCAGAATTCCTGGGATGAAGTCAGTGGCTTTACAGTGATGGTTTCCATTGGTTTCTTAAACATGCTCAGTCACGCCTTACCTTATATGTAGTATTGCCCTCTGAGACCATGTATGTTATGTTGGGTACAGTTTGAGAGCAGGCAACATGGCTAGGAGAAAATTGAGTTCTTCTGTTATCCAATTAATAGTTTACTAAACTGGCTTCAGAAGAATAGGCACATCCCATGTGGTCTAAATCCCATGTGGTCTAAATCCCATGGTTTAGGAAACCAGGACTGCCTCTACCTGTGAGCAGATCACTCTCCTGTCTTTGGGCCAGAGATCTCTGATGCTAGATGACAGTTAAGAATAAGTAAGTTGGGCTGGGAAGGTGGCTCAGTGGTAGAGTGCTTGCCTTGCATGCGTGAGGCCCTGGGTTCAATTCCTCAGCACCACATAAGCAAAAAGAAAAAAGCCGGAAGTGGCGCTGTGGCTCAAGTGGTAGAGCGCTAGCCTTGAGCTGAAGAGCTGAGGGACAGTGCCCAGGCCCAGAGTTCAGGCCCCATTACCGGACCCCCCAAAAAAAATAAAAATACTTTAAAAAAAAAGAATAAGTTACAATAGTGTCTTCTTAGCCATGGTTTTACTTTCTGACCACGATGTAAAAATACTGTCTTTTGTCTTTGAAGTGAGACCATTTCCATAACTTTATTACAGCCTATTAAGATTGTATTTTGCTATTACTGCTGATCTCTTACTTTGCCTGATTTGTAAGCTACATGTGATATACCTTAGTGGTGAGGCCGTCTACAAAGGTGTTTTGAGAGTATCTTAGAAAAGGAACTCCAGGGGCTGGGAAGGTGGCTCAGTGGTAGAGCACTTGCCTGGGTTCGATTCCTCAGCACCACATAAGCAGGAAAAGCCGGAAGTAGGGCTGTGGCTCAAGTGGTAGAGTGCTCGCCTTGAGCTGAAGAGCTGAGGGACAACGCCCAGGCCCAGAGTTCAGACCCCACTACCGGGGGGAAAAAAAAAGGAACTGCAAATGTAAAAGGCCTTATCATGGGAGTCAGTCTGGTGTGCCTAAGAAACACAGTGCTATAGGAGAGGTGTGGGGGGCTGAGAAGGTGGCTCAGTGGTAGAGCGCTTGTCTTGCACGCATGAGGCCCTGGGTTGGATTCCTCAGTACCACATAAGCAAAACGAAAAAAGCCGGAAAGTGGCGCTGTGGCTCAAGTGGTAGAGTGCTAGCCTTGAGCTGAAGAGCTGAGGGACAGCGCCCAGGCCCAGAGTTCAGGCCCCACGACCAGACCCAAAAAAAAAAAAAAAGGAGAGGTGTGGAAGATGAGTTAGTAGGAAGACAGGGTTTTCAGGACCTAGAATGTAAATCCTGGCTTTTACTGGGTGTGGTAGGAAGTTTTGAAACTGATCTGGTTTAACTGAACAGAATTACTCTGGTTTCTGTGTTAGGAGCAAAGGTAGAAGCGATTGCTGGGTTTCCCCATCTTAATGCTAGACAAGAGTTGGAGAGTGGGGCACAAGCTATGACCTGGGGAAGCAGTTGCTGTGGTGCCCTTCCTGTTACAATTCCTAAATCCCCTTTTCCTAAAAGAAAACTGTGGGGTCCCGTTCTAACCTTTTGTTTTGGTGGTGATGAAGAGGCTAAGGATCTAACCTAGGGCCGCGTTCATGCTAAGTAAGTTCCTTACCACTGAGCTAAGCCCTCAGTCCTTCAGGTTTGCCGGACTTTTGCCTCCCGAGATTCATCTGTGCCTAGTGTAAGGGGGAAGAACTATGGGAACAGGTTGAACCATCAGGAACACATCTAGTTCTATACAAGCTGAGCCCAAGTCCCTGCCTTTCTAGCAGGGTGAGTCTTATTAGTTGAGTCTTATTTCTTTGAGTGTACTGAACATGTTACTTATTTAATAAATACTGGACAACTACTATGTCCCCTCCCGGACACTAATTGAGGCTAGAATAGCAAATGAAGCCAGATGAGGTAGCTCACACCTACAATCCTAGCTACTCAGGAAGCTGAGATCCAAGGATCATGTTTTGAAGCCAGCCCAGGAAGTAAAGCCTGCGAGACTTACCTCCAGTAAATTGCCAAAAAGGCCAGAAGGAGCTGTGGCTCAAGTTGCAGAGTGCTAGCCTTGAACACAAAAGCTTCAGGGACATTACCTAGACCCATAGTTCAAGCCCCAGTTAACAGCACAGGAAAAAAGAAAAATTGAACTAAACAACTCATACCGTGGTTTGTACCCAAGTTGAGGTTTTATATTTACAGAAGACTAGTGTGTATGGGGGGAGGGAGGGTGGAAGAGAAGGAGTGGGAGAGAGCAATGCGGAAAGAGAAGGGAGGCAGGTGTTTACATGCTCGACATGAAGGCAAGAAGTAGTGAGGTTGGCCTGAATGATGGCAACCCCAACGTAGTCACCCATCAGCAGACACCCAGAAAGTCCAGAGAGAATGGGACAGCACTGGCAGAGAGCTCAGTCTACCTGCCCTGAGAACAGGATGGCCAGGAGAGACTGATGCAAATTAAGGAGACATTGGGGACCATCCAGTTGTTCTTTGGGAGGGAAAGCTGCCCTATTCCCTTTGAACTTTGGCTCTCCAGCAACATTTGCCCTGTTGGCCTCATCTCTTCGCTGTGAGGCTCTCTCCCCTGTGTTGTAAAACTCCTGGTCCTCAGGATCTCTGCATCCTGGACAGAAAGTCCTGGAAAGGTCAGTTTCCTAGGCTGGGGCTGAAATGCATGTCACACCACCAGGTTGCTGGTGAGCTTTGTCCTGGCCTGTTGCTCATGGCCCCTTGATGGATCCAGGCTCTGTGAGACGGGCAGAGGCATATGCTGAAGCTCCAAGGCAGGCTGCAGGCTCACAGAAGCCAGGCAGCCCCACAGGGCCTGGCAGGCCAGGTCGGCCTGCCTCTCCTGGAGCCCCTGGGGACCCTCGGTCTCCATCTTTGCCGTTGATTGCCTGGCCAGGCCTGCCAGGAAGTCCTGTAAAGGAGAGAATCGAGACATCAGGGCCTAGGAAAAAATGGGGGAACGAGAAGGAAGGGATGACATTGTCCGAGAAGCATTGTACTCATTACCTGACTTACGGAATTGTAACCCCTTTGTACAAATCCTTAATAATATAACAACAGCAAAAGACATCAGGGCCTCGTTGGCCTCGGCAGAAGGTGAGGCAGAAAGAAGAGGTTCTGTCCCAGACACAGTCTATAATTGTCCCCAGTTCCTGATCTCTCCTTTCCTAAGTGATTGTGCATGTCCCGCCTTCCAGCCAGACCCCACACAGGGACTCCTGGGTGCTCCAAGGTGACTAAGGGTAAGGCCTCTGTAGAGTCCCAGGTATCCCTGGGACATTAATCTCCAAGCTTAGGGACAAAACAAACTAGGCAGGGCTAAGGTCTTACCTGGGATCCCTGGGGGCCCTGGCATCCCGGGGTGCCCACGTCCTACTTCTCCTTGATCACCCTTCTCGCCACGCCTTCCTGAGGACAAAAATGGTTTCCAAAAATGAAAAATGATTTTCCTGCTTTGGTGCTACTTAATATGTTTCACAGTCAGCAATCCTTCCAGTATTGTGCTAGTTTTAAAAAGGAGAAAGGTGTCTGGCGCTGGTGGCTCATGCCTGTAATCCTAGCTACTCAAGAGACTGAGATCTGAGGATCATGGTTCAAAGCCAGCCCGGGCAGGAACGTAGTCCATGAGACTCTTATCTTCAGTTAACCACCAGAAGACTGGAAGTGGTGCTGTGGCTCAAGTGGTAGAGTGCTTACCTTGAGCCGAAGAGGTCAGGGACAGCACCTAGGCCTAAAGGTCAAGCCCCACGATAAAAAAGAGAGAGAGAGAGATAGTTGGAAATGTCTATAGAGGCCTGATTAAATAAAGGGAGATCTAGAAAAGCAGTAGAATATTATGTCTCTAATCAAGTTTATTTTAAGAAAGCATCCAAAAACAATATCTAATATTCCTGTTCTATCAAGCAGGGAACGGAGTAGAACTCTGTATATTGACTAGAAATGTGATTCCCACAAAGCATTAAGAGGTTAGTGCCATTAATGTCTCAAGTTTGCAGATGAGAAATCTAAGGCAATTAGATGGAAGGAAATTCGTAAGTATAGGTAGTTTGTCCAAGGACCACATCAAGAAAGTGGCAGAGTCTGGATTTATACTCAAGTCTTGTGGGTCCAGGGCCTACCTGTCTTATTCCTGGTCTTCCCACCCCATCTCTAAAGACACCTTAAGATGTTCATGGAGGTACTCTATGCAAACGAAAAAAACAAAACTCCCAAAGCTATAACATAGCACATTCATTCCTATCAATTTGCTACAGCA